GCACTATTTTGCTGTCTGTATAAAAGTCAAAGGAGTCCATTTCTATTTCAATGGTCTTTATTAAATTTTTTAAACAGTATAAACAGAGGCAATAAAACACCCATGCAGGGGCTATCAATTGCACAGATAAACAAAATGCAAAAAAAAAAAAAATTAAAAAAAAAGGAAAAACAATGCTCTAATGCCAACAGGGCAAAAGGTACGCCCACGCAGGGGCTATCAGTGGCACATAAGGTACAAAACAGTAATGTAACTGATTATAACACAATTAAATGCAGCTGTCCAGTCACACCAAAAACAGAGAGAGAGAGAAAAAAAGAAAAGAAAAAAAAAAAGGGGGGTGGGGGGCAAAGAGCAGGGATTCAAGAGCGCCAATACCGAACGCCATTACATCCCCAGACTAGCCGGGGGGAGTGAGGGAAGGGCATATTGCAACCACGGCTCCTATATTTTCAAAAATTTACGTTGGGAGTCGTTGCGAATACTCGACATCTGTTCGTTGAGCATCATAGTGGTCATACGATCCCGCACCCCCTGAAGAGGGACAAACGGACTCTTCCAGGCCTGAGCAATTGTCCTAGTGGCGGATAAAAACAGATAGGAAGCCAACTTCTGCTGGTGAGCTAAGAGGCCCGGTATGGGGCAATGAAGCAAGGCATACCGAGCATCCCGGCGTATGGAGAGATGGAACAAGGTGAAAAGGAGGCCAAATACACGAGACCAAAAACGAAACAGTCTCGGGCATGACCACCAGATATGTAATACATCACCACGATGACCACAACCCCAAAAACATTGATCACTACAGGCAGGGTTAGCCCGGGCCAGCCGAGCAGGAACCCAGTACCAACGAAACAATACCTTATAGGCTGCCTCCAGTGTGGTCGTATTAAATGAGCATTTAGCTATGAGTGACCAGGCCTTATCCAGTCCTCCGGATCCACAGCCACTCCCAGGTCGCGCCCACTGAACAACATATGAAAGAGAAGTATGCGACGAGTGTCTGTTCAGAGCTGCATAAAGAAGGGATATAAGGCCCGGAGCGCCCGGACGCAGTTGGCAGAGCTGTTCAAAGGCAGATTTCTGGTACGGGAACGCAGAAGTACCCCGCAGCGAGAGCAGCCAGTGTCGCAATTGAAGATATCGAAAAAATTCCGCCGGGGGGATATTCCGGGATTCCCGAAGAGAGTCCCAGGTGGGAAAGGACCGAAAAATCAAAAAGTGTCGCACCTGCGAAAAACCATTAGTCACCCACCAAGAAAACGCCCCTGGGTGATCCAAACCCGGCGGGAAAAGAGGGTTGTTAATAATTGGGAGCAAAGGCAGAAAAGGTGACATCAGACCACCAGAGTAACGCACCGAGTCCCAAACTTGTAGGCCATGAAGTAACATCGGACTCAGTGCCATAGGGCGCAGGGCAGGGGGAAGCCATAGAAGCGGTCGACAGTGCGATAGGGGCACAATTAGGTAGTTCCAACAGGACCCAGAGGGGGACGTCGGAAGAGGCGTGCAACATAGACAGCGGGGCAATCTGGCTCGCTTGATAATACTTAGTCACATTAGGCACCCCAAGACCACCCTGAAGTCTATGGGCAAAAAGCGTACTTTTGGATACTCTGGGGTGCTTATCGGCCCAGATAAAACGCATTAACTTCGCCTGAAGCAACCGAAGAAAATGAGGGGGAACCCGCCTGGGAGTGTGCGAAAATAATACAACAATTTCGGCAAGATGGTCATTTTCACCGAATTAACCCGTCCTATCCAAGACAGGTGCGGAAATTGCCAAGAATGCATAAGAGAGGATAGAGAGCTAAGCAATGGATAGTAATTCGCAGCAAACAAGGAGTCATAAGTGGGGGTCAAGCGAATGCCTAAGTATTCAAGAGAAGAGGAAGCCCATTTGTAAGGGAAGTGGGATTGTAGGCGCGAAACCAAATCTGAAGCCAAAGTAATATTGAGGGCGACAGTCTTAAAAGGAGTCCATTTCAACATCTGTTTCAAGTTCTATAAGCTCAGCAATTTCCACAGCTAACACAGCTGCACAAAGTACAAGCCGTGGAATAGTATGTGCAGGTTTTTGTGTGAGCTTGGTCTTGCCCATGATAAATGCTACACCCACTTCACCGCTGGGATCCATAGCTCGAAGATAAGCCACCGCAGCAATGGCTTCGTTGGAAGCATCGGAGAAGACATGAATCTCTCTTCTGGTGGCATTCTTTAAGGATGCTTGGGTGTAAGAGCGTGGTATCTGGAGTTGTTCTAATGCTTTTAGAGATTGTTTCCAGGATTCCAACCTTTGTTATTTCTCCTTGGGTAAGGGGGTATCCCAGTCTGAGCTTTCAGAAGTAAGTTGTCACAGCAGTATTTTACCCTGAATGGTGAGAGGTGTAATGAAACCTAACGGATCATAAATTCTGTTCACTGTAGACAAAACTCTTTGCTTTGTGAAGGGCTTGTCACAGGCTGATGCTTGAAATGTGAATGTGTCTTGTTTAACATTCCAAAGCAATCCAAGACTGCATTGTGTAACAGAAAGGTCAGATCCTAGTTGGAATTTCTTCACACTGACAGCACGGTCATCAGAAGGAAAGGCTATCATGACCTTGTCGCTGTTAGAGATGATTTTGTGAAGTCTGAGGTTTGCAGTGGCAAGCATGTTCTGGGGTCTAGTAAGAAGGTCAATAGCTTCTTTTTCATTGGGCAGCGATTTGAGTCTGTCCTCTACATAGAAATTCCTTTCGACGAACTGTCTTGCATTAGATCCAAATTCTTTCTCACCCTCTTGAGCTGTTTTCCTCAGTCCTTAAATTGCACCTACAGGAGAAGGACTGTTACCGAAAACATGTACCTTCATACGGTAGTCTATGACTTCATCATTGACATCATTATTGCTGTACCATCGGAACCTGAGGAAGTTTCTGTAGTCTTCACGGACGATGAAACAGTGGAACATCTGCTAAATGTCAGTCATACTAGCAATTGGCTCTTGTCTGAAGCAAAGTAAAACTCCTATGAGATTGTTTAGATTAGGCCCAGTGAGAAGATTGTCATTGAGGGAGACGCCTTCATGATGAGCACTTGAGTCAAAGACCACCCTAATATGATCAGGCTTGTGAGGATGGTAGACACCAAAGCATGATAGGTACCAACATTCTTCTCCTTCCGTAAGAGAAAGTGCAGGCTCAGCATGATCTCTCTCAAACACCTTCTGCATAAAGTCCACAAAGTGCTTTTTCATCTCAGGTTTCTAGTTTAAACTGTGATTTAAAGAAACAAACCGTGATTCTGCGTGTACCCTGTTGTTTGGTAGTCTGTTTCTTGGGGTATGAAATGGTGGAGGTGCTACCCAACTGTTGGAATCATCTTGGTAGAACTCTTTACTCTTGGTTTTCAAGAATTCTTTATCTTCTATGTTGGCTGCCAACTCATTGTCTTTAGTGGTTACCTCGAACACTGTGTTGCCAATGTTGTCATCCCAGAGATTAAACACTTTCTTTTTGTCTTGTATGATGTGCTGTTGTGGACCATTTTCAAACAGTCTTTCTTTCACAGTATATTTATGTGGTCGTTGTGCAGAACAATTTGTTTGCCCATTTGATAGGACATGTGTTTTAAAGGAAGAGACTGAGTAGGACCTCCTGTCCTTGTCTAGGCAGACATTGCCTATCATGACCCATCCTAGATCCAGACGCTGAGCAAATGGTGCATTGTGTGGACCATTGATTTGATGACGAACTTTGTGCACCCTTAGGATGTCTCGACTGAGTAACAGCAGGATATCGGCACTTTCATCGAGGGCTTGTATTCGATTGGCTATGTGCTTTAAGTGAGAATGGTGAAAAGCAGCTTCAGGAGTAGGGATCTCCTCTCTGGGGTTTGGAATCTGGTTGCACTCAGTGATAGTGGGCAAAGATATTTCCACATTGTCATTCAGAGGAGTAACTACAAGACCACTGGCTCTCCTACCTAAGACTTCTGTAGTGCCGGAACAAGTGCTTAGAGTATAAGGCAGAGCATCTCCAGTTATGTTCAACAGTTCAAAAAACTGTTCTTGGAAGAGATCTGTTACTCTGATCATCCAGAATAGCATACAGTCTTATGGCCTTTTCAGGTTGACCTTTGTGGTATACATGGACCAAGCATATCTTTGCACAGGATTTGTCGCAGAATCCTTCTCTGCAGACCTCTGTACATGTAGAGAACACAGGGTGGTAGGTGCTGCTTGATCTGGGCGCTCCCCGCCTTGCTTTGCCTCAGGAAGATTGTTTGTGAGCGTAGTAGAGTTGTACGAATATTGATGAAGAGCTTGCACATGGTCATCACTGTCACACTCTATACATTTGATGATCACTTTACAGTCCTTCGCAAAGTGTTCTGTGGAGGCACAGCATTTGTAGAAAACCCCAAATTTCCTCAAAAGTTCCTTATGTTCTTGGAGGGTTTTCTTTCTGAAGCTGATACATTTCTTAACCACTAGCCTACAGGGCACTTATACCCCCTTCCTGCCCAGGCCAATTTCCAGCATTCAGCGCTGTCGCACTTTGAATGACAATTGCGCGATCATGCAACACTGTACCCATATGACATTTTTATCATTTTTTTGTGACAGATAGAGCTTTCTTTTGGTGGTATTTAATCACCACAGGGTTTTTTATTTTTTTTTCTTAAACCAAAAACCACTGAAAATGTTGAAAAAAAAAAAACACTTTTTTTTAGTTTTTGTTATAAAATTTTGTAAATGAGTGATTTTTCTCCTTTACTGATGTGCGCTAATGAGGCTGCAGTGATGGGCACTGATAGGCTGCACTGATGGACACTGATAGGTGGCACTGATGAGGAGGCACTGGTAAGTGGCACTGATGGGCATTGACAGGCATCACTGATGGGCACTGAAAGGCAGCACTGATATATGGCACTGTTAGGCGGCATTGACTGGCACTGTTAGGCGGCACTGATGCACACTGATAGGTGGCACTGACAGGCGGCATTGACTGGCAGCACTGATAGGTGGCACTGACAGGCGGCATTGACTGGCAGCACTGATAGGTGGCACTGATTGGCATTGATAGGTGGCACTGACTGGCTTTGATGGATGACACTGAAAGGCAGCTCAGATGGGCATTGATATGTGGCATTGATGTGCACTGGTATGCACTGATATGTGGCATTGATGTGGCACTGATAGGCACTGACAGCTGGCACTGATGGACTTTGACAGGTGGCACTGCTGGGGCTACACAGATCATCAGGGCACACTGATCATCAGTGCCCTGATGATCAGTGTACATGTCCCCTCCGTGGAAAACCGATTACCGGCTCTCCTCTCGAGCTGTCAGCGTGACAGCTCGAGAGGAGAGAAATGCCGATAACCAGCATTTCCGTGTTTACATGTGATCAGCTGTGATTGGACACAGCTGATCACATGACCGAGCCGCCATCTTCGGCTCTTTCTGTGATCGGTGATCCGCTGTGTCCGTGTCCGAGGGACACAGCGCACCACCGATCGCCGCGCTGCGTGCTCCCTGAGCCGCGCATGTGCGGTGAGAATGGGAGGACATCATATGACGTCCTCTCAGAACGAGAGAACCATCTTGCGCCCGTCATTGGACTATATGGCGGGCGGGAGGTGGTTAAGTGAATGTGGTTTGTTATGTATTGGACACTGGCGATTTGAGTCCTCAATTTTCTTGTTTTGATCAGTCTTTTGAAGAACTGTAGCAGGCGCAGGTAGAACATTAGTCCTTTTCACTAACACTGGACCTCTATGGTCTCTGTGTGACATACGTGTGTTTGTAGGTCTTGGAAAGAGTGTACTGAGAAGGTTACAGTCCCCATATGAGAAACTTGGGTCATTCTTAGTGTCTGCAATTCTTTTGATGAACTCGCAGAAGAAGGAAAAAGGAGGAAAGGCAACTCTATGTTCTTCCTTATACTTTGATCCAAGCACTGCCCATCTTTCTTGAATTCCATATGGTAGCTTGAGAACAATAGATTTGATGCCGTGAGAGGTGTCAAGGTAACTGAGACCAGGTAAGTTGATGTCAGCCTTAGCAAGTTGAAGCTCTAATTGAACATCGCTGAGTTCTTGAAACTTTAGATTTTCACTAGCAGAAATCCTTGGGAAGCTTTGCAACCTTTTGAATAAAGCTTCTTCAATGGCCTCTGGGCTGCCAAAGGTATGATCAAGTCTGCCCCAAGCAGCATTAAGGCCTGCAGCAGGGTTGTCAATATGAACTGCTTTGAGCCTTTTGATGCGTTCAGTGGACTGGGGACCTAGCCATATGATGAACAGATCTAATTCCTCTGTGGCATTGATGTCTAGGTCACTCATTGTAGCCTTAAAAGTGGATTTCCAGCCTCTGTAATTTTCAGGATTGTTATCAAACTTGGTGAGGCCTGTCTTAACAAGCTCTCTGCAGAGCATGTATTTAGCAAACTGTGACATGTCCGTGTTTTCAGATTTTGGGTGCATGACTGCAGGTGGAACAGAGTTGGTTGTGATGTTTGGTGGACTTACATTGAGTGACGTGGGGACATATGTTGCTGCTAAGGCATTCAATGCCAGAGCTGGCTTAAAGTCCATTGGCATGTTAGATTGTAGAGTAGTGCGTTTGCTAGGAGGTACTCTGTTGGTGCCAAAGTATGATGGACTGTCTATTAAATACACACCAGTGTCTGTGGCTAGCTGAGATGCTGCAGTCTGATGTTTGGAGGATATAAGGACAAATTGTCTTGAGGTACAGTAGGTGCAGAGAAGAGACTTTGATTGAGTAGTTTGGCTGCTGTGACAAGGATTTGACATTCTGGAGAAGTGTGTGAAGAATCTGAGACATAGGATACAACTGAGTGTCTTGAACTGTTGTCTCTTTCGTTTTCACTAGCGGCTTCTTCTAAGACCCTTATCCTTGCCATGACTGTGGCATGCTCACATTGTTTTTCCAAAACTTAAATTTCTGCCTTTTGGCATATGGTTTCAGCTTCTTTCTCTGCTTTCTGATGTGCGGCCTGAGTCTCCATTTCTGCTTTCTTATATGCGGCCTGAGCCTCCATTTCTGCTTTCTTATATGCGGCCTGAGCCTCCATTTCTGCTTTCTTTTGGGAAAAAGCTGCCTGAATTTTAGAAGCTTCAGCATCAGCATGGGCTTTTATTAGTTGTTGACTGAGTGTAGAAGACCTAGATTGTAGGGATTTGGAAGATCTGGAGGAGCGTCTAGTAGACACAGAGTGATAAGATCTGGATTCATGGAGCGGTGTTATTCTCACTTCTGCCTTTGTCTTTGTTCGCACCACTAAATTCTCTCTTTCAAGATTGAGCTCATCAAAATTCATTAATTCTTACAATGACCTCTGAGTGTTGTACTGCTTTAAGAGAGCAATATATTTAACACACAGTCTTTGATAATTCTCATAAGCAACATTCAATTGCTGGATAGCACCCTCTAGTTGTATTGGCTCATGAGATTGTTGGAAGAGAGCAGACATGCGTTTAACAGTATTAGACAAAGAACTGCTGTCTAATATTAAAGACTTGTGGTCTAAGTCCTGCTCTGGATGAAGTTCTGATTGTGGTTGTGTATTAGGTTTCCCAGACTGTATATTACTTTCCTGAAACATCATGTTAGCAAGGAGAGGGGTTGATAGAAAGTTTACAGAGAAATATATCAGTTTTTCTGTGGGTGACCTCAGGTTTCCTAGGCATTGGTTGCAGAAAAGTTTTCTTTTACTTTTTATAAGATTTCACAGACAAGCCATGTGCTAATACATACAGATGCAGTGTATAAACCTGCAGTTGTAAGACATTCACATCAATAATTTGTCTTGACACTGATGAGCGTTTTGCTGAGATATACTTGCAGACATGTACAGGCTTGTGTAGAGATGGCTGCACTCTCTGTAGCTGTTATATCCATATAACATCTCACTGTGTATCCAAAGCTAGCAAGGTTCCTATGAAGACATTTCACTGATCTTTTTTGACTGTTCTGTCTCTCCAATCTAAGCATTGAAAGTGTGATCTCTGTAACTTACAGTTGTGATGAGATAGTGATAACTCCAATCTTAGTTGAATACCACAGTCAGTGACTCAATTGGATGATATCTTGTAGATCTTGTGAAGTTTATTCCATAAACTGAGAGAATCTTACAACAATGAACATCTGATAGGTCAAAAGATCATAATATGACCTGCTTCATGACATGAGGCTAGAAGCTGCAATGCCTTACTGGGAAAAGGGGTGGGCTATCTATACAGCATTAACTAAAACAAAGGAAAAGGAGGATCAGAGACAAAGTATAGAGAACACTTAAAGGCATATGGCAGTCATGTGAAACATGACAATAACCATCAAATTAAAAAATGCCACAAGTGTATTTGACAGTTATATCTGCAAAAGATAGCCAGATTCATACATAAAATTAAAAAAAAAAGTTTTTTACTTATCGTAAAATATTTTACTTACAGTCCATTGAGAGGCACAGGAATGTAGGAATTCTTAGACATTTGGGTTATACTGACACCATTAAAAGCTTGAGACACTGGCTTCATCAACATCAGGTGTGGGCCAAATTCCATCTTTCCCTCCATCTGCTATTGCTCATGATCCTTCAGCTCCACCATCTCCCACCTACCCTCCCTCCTCCAGTTAGTAACTGTCTTCCACTATATGCCAGTTGTGGTACTGTACAAACATTTTAGGGTAACTGTAAAAGCAAAAATAGTTTATTTACAGTTGTACCACCATTTTAAGGTAACTGCAAAGGCAAAAATAGTTTATATTTACAGTATTTTTGTGTGGGTTTATTTATGCTTTACATTGTATATTTGTGTCAAAGGTGTCAAACACTCACTTTATCGGACTTACGAACGAATCTGATTTACGAATGTTCTCCAGGAATGGAACTCATTCGTAAGTCAGGGACTTACTGTATATGATTCCTGGAGTCATAATCTTTAACCCTGTAAGAGGCAAAGTCCACCATAGATGAGCTGGGGTAAAAATTATAGCACTAACACTAGAATTAGATTCTAAAACTGAAAGGGAGAATGTAAATGACAAATGGGAAGAACAAGAAGGGGGACTACGTGAAAAGGAATTTCCCAACAATTCCCAAAACCCAAAGAGGTGAATGGGAAAGAATCTGCCATACTAATGGAGCATCGACAGTAGACCTTTCGGCTTAATATGATCTGTGAGAATCTAGGACACTGAAAATATTTCAGTGAAGGTCAAATAAGCATTCCACAAATGGGATGGATGCCATGGAAAGGCACAAGGGTATACATTAGAGTCACTGCAGTGGGTAGGGTCCAACACCACAAGGAGTGCACCAATCATAAAGAAATAGATTCTTCTGCAGAGAAGGATGCAGAGTCAAATGGGATACCATTCTTAAGGATACCTTATTATCAGAGTGTTAGTCAAACAATTGAACAAATCAAAAGATCCCTAGGAACAGGTAATCCAAGCAAACCTAAAAAGATGCACAATGGTCACAGTAATATCAGATGCCTGATTCAACGGTTTAGAGAGAAGACTACAAGTACAAGCTTGAACATCCAAACTGCAAGGAAATAAACCCAGAAAGGACCCAGTAGAATGATCAAACACTTGAAAAATTTGGGGCACACTTTCATGCAGATGGCTGAGTAGATGACACAGAGGTACACCTGTAGCAGTAGGTGAGGAATGGAGTTCTGCCTCATCCACAGACCTCCCGTGTTGGTGCAGGAGTACACTCCTAGCTTAAGGGATAGCTAGTAGTAGCCGGTCACATTCAACTGGACTTGATCTATGATGATCTTATTCAAACACTTACTCATTTTCTAATGAGTATCAGGAAAATACCCCAGAATTTACATTCAGGTAGCCGCAAAACATCTTCAGCATCACAGAACAAATCCAGTTGAACTAAACAGAGATATTGGGAATGACATTTCCATAGAGACATCTCAGGCATGAAGTCAAAGAGCCCTTTGCATGTAAACACACATTATGCCAATGTGAGACACAAGCTTGGATTCTTGTACGGGCTCCAGACATTTAATATAAAAGCTCCAGGACATAGGGCTTTGTCCCTCAGATGGAGGAGTCTCCTCTAATAGGTTTTATCCACAGAGACATGTATTCACAAATCTGAGTCACCGCCAACAGGGGACAGAGGGTCGCTCCAGGTAACCCAAGGTATTTAATTCCAATTATCACTTTAACATTTAACATATCATATTTGTACGTGCAGAAGTATATATAAAGTGCTTATTTAAATACATGATTGTCAGAGTCATATGCAAATAAAGTCCATTTGTGCAAGTACACAGATGATAAATCTTCAAAAAAAGACACCAAATATACAGTATCTCACAGAAGTGAGTACACCCCTTACATTTTTGTAAATATTTTATTATATCTTTTCCTGTGAAGAAATGACACTTTGCTACAATGTAAAGTAGTGAGTGTACAGCTTGTATAACAGTGTAA